ACATTTTGGCTAGATTTGTATCATTAACTGGGATTAACTGAACACCGATCATCAGTTGTTGGCTCCGTGGCAGAAAGTGTCAAGCTTGGTGTAAGCCTGTTGGTGTGTTAGCCTGCTGGTATGTTAGCCTGTGAGCAGGCTCACGTTCGAACACAAGCGCGAGTGGCGAAGCCGCTAGACGAGAAAGTGAGCCTGCTATGATCTCTGCAAATTTTTCATTTTCACCCCGGAAACCGCAGAAAAGAATAACCCAACTAATTTTCACCGGAAGTATGAACTTTGGTCGCTCAGATTTCTCGGGAAAATTGTAAATCTTTTTCATAACCGCATGCAGGTCTAATATCCGTCGTTGTCAAAGTTTTGCCGAAGAAAAACCGTCAAAGTTTATTTTTAGAAACGACATTCACTTGGTTCCAAGTGATTTTGCTTTGGCAGTCTGGTCTTTGATGATGCTGGTAAACGGGCAAACGCCTTAGTGTTGATTCGTTGCCCGCTTAACGTTTGCCATACATTGTGTCTAGAATGTTTGGAAATTCAGGGTCGGATCTAGCGGATCTAGGGGACAGACCCCCTCCCGCCTATTTTGGGTAAAAAAAAAAATCACAGAAGGAAAAGCCGGCATAGCAAGGAAAGGAACGGTAGAGTCCTTGCCCAGAGTGGATTCTTCGGTTCCTTTGACGCACCGTGATCCGAAGAGATCTTGGATTAATCTGTTTAGAAAAGAAACGCAAAATCCGTTTTCGGATTTAAGAACCCAATCTTGGATTTTCTTAAAGAAACGCACCCTAAGTTTGATCGAATGTCAGATAACGATCTCCGAGTGAAGTTGAACTAGTGATGAATAGATTATAGCCTGCGGTAAATTAAATTGTACAAAGTCCATTATTCTTACTTTACGTTTTGATTGGGTAGTTTTCTTCAAGGTGGACCGGTTCAAGTAGTCGCAATGTAATACGATTAAGTTAAGTTTCAAACGCAGTATTGTTTTTTAATGCTATTTTCATTTAGACACAGTATAGTAAGTCACAAAGTGTAACATAAATTCTACGTAATACCTATTTTATCATTTCTTCTCTTATTATACATCCTAGTCCTATCAATAGCGGAAAAATTAACCATATGGAAATTTGTTTTTAAGTAATTACTGATACGATAACATAAAACATTGATAAAAAAATAATAAAAAAAAAAAACTGTTTAGTCATCAGTGCAATGCAACTACAACTAGAGTAGCCATCACACCGAGTTGTTGGAAAATACATTTGACTTGCTGATTTTCTATTTCTAGAAAATTTTTATGCTACATTGATCACATTTATGGCCTTATTTTTACCCATTCGTACGGCTGAAACAGTTCCACCAAAAAAAAAAAAACACAAAAATGCCAGTTCTCACTGCAATAACTTTTAGTAACCACAAGCTAAGCGATAATCTCGATAATGCGGGCTGATTAATTAGGACTGGGGCCTA